TACTACAGTAGCATGTTTAAGGGCAACAGGGACAACGCCAGAAGAGAGAGCAGTTGAAGATGTGTGTTAAGGAAAGCACAAGACAAGAGGAGAGAGATCTGATAAGGTGAGATGGGACAAGATCAAGCAGGCAAGTGGTGGGGAGAGAGGAAAGGAGAAGTGCAGCCACCTCTTGTTCTGTAGCCTGGGAGAAAGTCTGAAGGGTAGGAAAGGAATGATCCAGGTGTAGTTGAGATAGAGAGGGACAAGGTGGAGAGAATTCTTTCCTGAGCTGTTCAATCTTGTTGGTAAAGTAGCATGCAAAGCTGTTGGCTGTAAGGTTAGTTTGGTGGGTGGCCACAGCAGGGCAAAGAAGGGAGTTAAAGGTAGTAAAGAGACGCCTGGGATTGCGGGAGCATGAGCTAATGAGGGAGAAAAAAATATAACTGTTTGGCAAGGGCAAGCGCTGTGCTGTTTGAACGCAACATGAATTTGTAGTGGCGGAAGTCTGACTGGGTGCGTCACTTCCTCCAGCAGCCTTCAGTAGAACTGAAGCATCTCTGCAGGTAGTGTGTTGACTTAGTGTGCCACGGTTGGGGGAGTGTTCTCCATTAGGTGCATGTTTGGAGCAGGGCCGCAGCATCCATGGAAAAGGTGAAGGTAGTGTCATATGAGGAGATAGCCAGTGAGGGACAGGAGAAAGTAGGGATTGATGGAAGTTGGGAATCAATATCAGCTGACAGCTGCTGGAGGTCTATAGAATCCAGGTTTCTTCTGATTTGAGGGGGGTTAGGCTGAGGATGATGGGGTAGTGGGCTATTGTGAGCAAATAATAAGATGTGGTGATCTGAGAAAGTAAATGGAGTGTTGCAGAGATTAGAGACTGTACATTCATGAAAGGAAATAAAATTCAAGATTTTCCTAGTCTTGACGTCAGAAAATATAGATTTTATTAAAGACAGGAGGCGAGTATTATGCATTAACTTTCTTTACTTAACTCCAGCAGCAAAGACATTTTTTCAATAAAGTTTAGTGAATAAAAAAAGGTAAAACAACAGAGTAACTGAAATGGAACGTTGGTAGCCAATCAGCATCCAGTATAGTCCATCTAGTGAACGATCCCCAAATATTCTCCCTCTTTCGAGCTGCGAATGTAGAAGAAGTGTCTAGTAGAGTAGCTCCAAGGATAGAATGATGAAACTCCAAACAGTATTTATCTGAAATATAAATATCAGGGTGGGTTAATGGGAGGGATAATACTCGCCTCCTGTCTTTAATAAAATCTATATTTTCTGACGTCAAGACTAGGAAAATCTTGAATTTTATAACAAGACAGGAGGCTCGTATTATGCATGTTCAAAGCTATGTAGTCATAATATAACATACATCGGAAGTTATTACAATATTATTTTTGAAACATGCTGGCTAGGTCTAAAATAAAACTGTTTAAATGTAGATTCTGAAGACCAATCTGCTGTTTTTAATAGATCTGATAAAGAGCCTCCTGCTTGAAACACTTTAGTAGTCATAGCTCCTCTTGATGAGTGAGCTCCAAACATTGAAATATTAATACCTGCCATAGACATGGTTTGTCGTACCCATCTAGCTAAAGATGTAGAGGAGACAGGTAGAAAAGGTTTACGAAAGGAGATTAGTAATTGTGAGAAATTAGAATTTCGAATCAAAGAGGTTTTAAACTCATATGTTTGAAGACAACTAACAACACATAGAAGAGGATGGTCAGAAAATGAAGGATAGAATACAGTACGGAGATTAGTTTTGGTACGTCTAACAATAGAAAATGTAACACCATCAGGAGTATATTGTCTATTATTTAAGTCTAAAGCCTTAACGTCAGAAACTCTTTTGAAAGAGATGAGACATAGTAAAGTGGTAAGCTTAAGCGAAAGCAATTTTAAGGATAATGAATCATTGGCCCCCCCATGATTCTATCAACTGGAGTACCAGAGTAACATCCCAGGTGGAATTATATTTAGGGCATGGAGGACGTTTAAATCTGATACCCTTCATAAGTCTGCAGACTAGAGGATGTTTACCCACAAGGAAAAATTCAATAGGGTCGTGATTCGCTGAGATAGCGGATCTATAGACATTAATGGTGCGATAAGCTTTCCCTGAATCAAAAGAGGCTGACAAAAAATTTAGAATGTTTGCTAAATCTGAATGTATGGGATCCACTGCCCGTTCCATGCACCAATTAAGCCAAATTTTCCAGGCTGATCTGTAATTTGCACGGGTTCCCGGTGCCCATGCTTCTGAGAGAATGATTCTAGTAGTGTTTGAAAATTCACTATGAGATTCGAATGGCCCGAAATGAGGGATGCAATCAGGGGTAATTGGCCCGACAGTACTAGAGGATGACAATTTCCCTTCGGGTCGCGAAGAGAATCCCGACGCATCTGTATGAGTCGAGGGTAGTCTATCAGCATGCTGAGAAGCTGAGGGAACCATGGTTGTGATGGCCAGAGAGGGGTTATAATCACTAAGGTCGATTTCTGGGACCATGCTTTCAGAAGTACCCGGGATATCATCGTAAATGGGGGGAAAGCATAATTGACCCCTTCCTTCCAACATTGGAGGAAAGCATCTTGATCTACTGCTTCTGGATCCGGCCGCCAACTGAAAAATGTTTCCAATTGGCGATTGAGCCGTGATGCAAAGAGGTCGTATCTAAATGGACCCCACAGGGCAAGTATTTGTTGGAAGATGTTGGGATCTAACATCCAGTCACTGTAATCCACTAGGAAGCGGGAATTCCAATCTGCTACTGTATTGGAAAGGCCGGGAAGGTATTCTGCTCGTAACGTTATGTTTCGATCGAGGCAAAAATGCCATAATTCTTTGGCAATGTCGGCCAGTTGCTTGGATTTTGTACTTCCTAAGTGATTTATATATTGGACTGCTGATATGTTGTCCATCTTGAGAAGGATACAACAATGGGATTTGTGTTTCGCAAAACTGCGTAGAGCGAAAAACCCTGCCATGAGGCAGTTTATATGCATATTCGTCTCTTCTAGAGACCATTTGTCTCCTGTGGAATTGCCTCCACAATGAGCTCCACAGCCTAAACGACTTGCATCGGATTCTATAGTTAGGTCTGGGAATGACGTGAAAATGGCTTTCCAGTTCCAAATTTGAACGTGATCTAACCACCAGGAAAGTTCTATTCTTGTCTCTGAAGTTAGAGAAATCTCGTCTGAATAAAGGAGACCATTGTTTAGATGTTCTCTTTTCAATCTTTGAAGAGCCCGATAGTGAAGGGGGGCTGGAAAGATAGCCTGGATGGAGGCTGATAAAAGTCCTACAATCCTTGCTAACGACCTGATGGAAATTAATTCCTTCTTTAGAACTGACCTGATCTCTTTTCGAATTGTTTTCAACTTCCGTGATGGAATGCTGAGAGTGGCTAAATTGGAATTTACTAGAAATCCTAAAAATTCTATCTCCTGAGAGGGAGTTAAAATCGATTTTTCGTAATTTATTACAAAGCCAAGGCTTGTTAACAGATTCAATGTCCATTGAGAATGTAGTTGAAGAGTTTGCACACTCTGTGACATAATCAGTATGTCGTCTAGATATATTATCATTCTTATTCCCCTGCTTCGAAGTAGGGATATTACTGGTTTCAGTAATTTGGTGAAACACCAAGGTGCAGAGGATAAACCAAATGGCAATCATTTGAATTGCCATTTCTTCCCTTGCCATAGGAATTGTAAATATTTCTGACATGAATGGTGGATAGGTACCGTAAGGTATGCATCCTTCAAATCTATTTTGATCAACCAGTCGTTGAACATCAACAGGTCTTTGAGGTAATAAATTCCCTCCATTTTGAAATGGTGGTATCTGACAAAATTGTTTAAGTATTTCAAGTTTATGACTGGCCTGTGACCAGAATCTTTCTTTTTCACCAAGAATAAATTGCTTATGAAGCCTGGGCTGTTCATGGGCACCTGTATGATGGCATTTTTTGAATATAAATTTCATATTTCTTGATGCACCAGGGCCTGGTCTTGGGCCGAAAATTTTATCGGGAAAGGCATGTTTCTTTGGACAGGGAATGATATAAAATCTATTTTGTAACCTAGAACCGTGTCTAGTATCCAAGAGTTGTTTGTAACCTGACTCCAGACATGGAAAAAACTAGTGAGTCTGCCCCCTAACCTTACTGGGAAAGAACGGGGAGTTGTCATACTCACCGGATCAAGATCTGAAGCGAGACATTCCTCGATGGCCTCTCGATCTCCAAGGTCTGCCACGTAGTGGAAAGAAAGGAGTTGATTGTTGGGTGTCATATGAGGATCTGGAGGGTTGAAAAGTGTTCCTTGGAACCTGTCTATGCTGAAAGGAACGGCTGGAACGGTTCCTTCCTCCTACAGCCCTTCCGAAAACCTTAGGGTTGAAAGCTTTCTTCAGGGATAACTGAGCCTTATTAAGGGAGCTAAATAGATTGACATATTTATTAATGTCTTTTTTTTGTAAATGTGATTTTTATTTTCATTTTCGTATCAAGGCAGTCATACTTCGTTTGGACTCGCAGGTCCGTTGCTTGGTAAGTGCAAAGAGTAAATCAGCAACGTTGTGAGGTTATATAACAGTGCGGGCTCGCAGGCCCCTCAAACAATGTGGACTCGCAGGTCCCATTTGTTATGGAGATTTATACATTGTATGAAACAAGCAGTTTATGAACAAACAACTTATGATGAACACATTTTATCAGCCTCCTAGCATGGACAGCTGGTTAGAAACGAAACACCTCCCCGTCCCCATGTGTTCCGTGATGATTGTCCGTTGTCTCCCCTACTCTACTGCGGTCGTTGAATATCTGCCTACGTGGCAGATATCCTCTATGTGTGGCCTCCATGTCGCCCTTATCAGTGTGGTTCTAGGTGGTCCCTGCCACCTCAAGAGTATCGTGGCTCGTGTGTTAAGGTGGTTGGGATGGGTAGGTCGTGGTGGGAGAGCATCGGGAGGGGGGGTCTAGGTTCCGTCTGCGTCATGAGTCTGCAGCATATTGGGATTTAAGTCATGTCTCTATTGTTGGGCTAGGGTTCGCCCAGGAAGCCTGGTTTTGTTGACTTCAGTAGCCAGAGCGTCCATATATTGAGGTAGGTTTGGTGTGTGTTATTCGCTGTGGCGTGGAGTTCTTCTAAGGACCTCAGCTCCTCCATTTGAGTGAACCAGGTTCTCAGTGGCGGGGTGGTCTGTTGTTTCCAATGTTGTGGGATGATAGTTTTAGCTATGTTTAGTATGCGTATCGTCATTGATTTCTTATATATGGTCCTGGGGACCTTAGTGTGGTGTAGGAGCATTTCTGCTGGGCCGAATGGGGGTGGATCATCTGAGAGCTGCCCTATAATTGTATGTATGTCCTTCCAGAACGGGGCGATTTTGTTGCATTCCCACCAGATGTGTAGGAGCGTGCCCGTCTCCTCTCCGCATCTCCAGCACACTGGGGGGTAGTCTGGGATGTGTGCGTGTAATGCAGCGGGGGTGCAGTACCAGTGTGTCAGTAGTTTGTATGCTGTTTCTTGCGTCTTACTGAAGCTAGAGAAATGGTGCGTGAGGTAGCAAATTTTTCCCAATCTGCCTTATTAAATGTGCGGCCCAGCGCTGCCTCCCATTTTCCCATAAAGCTTGGTTGTGCTGTTGGTGTTTGTGTCAGAAGTGATGTATACATGAGGGAGACTCCATGGGTTAGCGGGTCTGGGAGTAGGCATATGTCTTCGAAGTATGTGGGAGCTCTCAATAAGATGGGCCCCTGTGGTAGGGTCGCGATGTAGCTCTGGATTTGTTTACAGCCATGGCAGTACCGCGACTGGGACCCCCGCCTCGTTTTCTTCTGCTTGTTTCCACTGCTTCTGCACCCCTTGTTTGGTCCATTCTATTATCCGGAGGAAGTGGCAGGCCCTATAGTAGAGGGTGAAGTCTGGCAGCGCCAGGCCACCTCTATCCTTTGGTAGTGTTAGTAGAGTGTGTTTGAGTCTTGGTCGTTTCCCATTCCGGACGTAACGTCCGAGGGCAGTGCGGAGCGTTGCGAAGAATGTGTGGGGAACCGCAATGGGGATGGTTTGGAAAAGGTACAGGAGACGGGGGAGGAAGTTCATTTTAACTACTTGTATCCTGCCAAGCCATGAGATGTGTGGGTATGCCCATTCCTGCATTTCCGTGCGGAACTTCGTGTGTATCGTGGTGAAGTTTTCTCTAAACATGTCCCCCGCTTTCCGTGTTAACCAGATTCCCAAATATTTAATTTTGTGTGTGGCCCATTGAAATGTGTAGTGTTGGCATAGTGGTGTCGCCCGTCGCTCCGGGATATCGATGTTTAATATATATGATTTAGAGAGGTTTATTTTTAAATTGGATATCCTACCGAAGTCCCGGAAGGCTTTCAGAATGTTGGGTAAGGATACTTCCGGGTTTGTCACGTAGAAGAGCATGTCGTCCGCATATGCCGCTACTTTGTGGTGTGTCATCCCTGCCATCACTCCCTTTATGTCTGGGTCGTTCCTGATTGCCACTAAGAAGGGTTCTAAGGCTAGAACAAAAAGCAGCGGGGATAGTGGGCATCCCTGGCGGGTGCCGTTTAGTATGTCGAACGTTGCCGACAAGGCCCCGTTAACTATCACTTGGGCAGATGGTTGTGTGTATAGGGCCATTATCCACCCCATGATTCCCGGGCCCAGTCCCGTGTGCGAAAGGGTCTGGAACAAGTATTTCCAGTTGATCCTATCGAAGGCCTTCTCCGCGTCTGTGGACAGCAGGAGGAGGTCTCCGCGCGTGCGCCTGTCACCGTGTATCAGAGTGAGCGTGCGTATCGTATTGTCACGTGCCTCCCTCCCCGGTACAAACCCTACTTGGTCCGGGTGTATCAGCGTGGGTATGTGTATCTGCAGTCTGGTGGCTAGTATCTTGGCCAGCAACTGAAGGTCACAGTTTATGAGGGATATTGGCCGGTAGTTTCCGCAGTGCTCTCCATCCCTACCCTCCTTGGGCAGGACGGTGATGTGTGCCGCCAGAGTCTGTTTGGGGAAGTGGTGGCCCTCCTTGATGGCGTTGAACGCCGCTATTAGGGGTTCGTATAGTATGTCCGTGTAGGTCTTGTAGTAGCAGAGCGGCAGGCCGTCTGGGCCTGGGCTTCTGCCGGGTTTTGTTCGTTTAATAGCCGCAGCCAGTTCCTCCGGTGTAATTTCTTCGTCCAGGAGGGTCACCGTGTCTCTGTCAAGTGTGGGTGTCGTGTGCGTGGTGAGGTAGTCATTAATGGAGTCCATTAAGTGTTTGGTTGCTTGGGTTGACGTCGGCCTCGGGAGGGAATATAGGTCTGCGTAGTATGCCCTAATTACGTCTTGGATCTTAGTGGGGAGTCGGTGTAGTGTGTTTTTATTATCTCGGATGCGGTCTATGTACGTCTGTTGTCTGCGTTTAGAGAGCATCCGAGCCAATAATCTGCCGCTTTTGTTACCATGTAGGGAGAAAAACGCCTTGTGTCGTAGTACATCTCTATGATATCTGGTTTGGAGAAGTCGGGTCAGGTCTCTGCGTAAGGCGAGCAGTTGTTCCTGTTGTGTGTATGTCTGTTTCTTTTTGTTGAGGCTATCTATCCTCTGTATGTCTTCCAGTAGAGTGGTCATTTTTGCTTCCCTCTGTTTTTTCAGTATGGCGCTCCTTTGTATAAAGTGGCCCCTCACTACGCTTTTGTGCGCCTCCCACACTATTGTCGGGGTCGTTTGGTCAGGTGTGTTGTCGGTGAAGTACTCTCGGAGGGTCGATTCGATGTCGGATTTAACAGTGGGCTCGGAGAGTAGGTATTCATTGAGTCGCCATTTGGTCACCCTTGGTCTGAATATGGGGGAGGCTAATGTGAGTGATACTGGGGCGTGGTCAGACCATGTCGCCGTGCCATGTTCTGATTGTAAGACCAGTGGGAGATGATAGTGTGACAAGAAGAAGTAGTCTATCTTAGTGTATGAGTTGTGAGGGTGTGAGTAGAACGTGTAATCCCTCTCGTCTGGTTGGTGTGCCCTCCAACTGTCTACTAGTTTGTGTTTGGAGAGGAGAGTTTTGATTATGGCTAGGTGTTGGGCTGGAATGTGTGATGTGCCGGTGGAGGTGTCCCATTTCGGGTCCAAAGCCAGATTGAAATCTCCCCCCAGTACCAGGACACCCTCGGCGAACGCCTGTAATTTGCGGAGGGTCCGTGAGAGGAATCTGTAGTGTCTCTGGTTGGGGGCATATAGGTTAGCGAACGTGTAGGTCTGGCCTGCTATTGTACCCTTCAGGAACACATATCTGCCCTCCCTGTCTGTTTGGACCCCTAACTCCCGCAGGGGTACTCTTTTGTGTGTTAGTTTCGCTGTGCCCCGTGCCTTGCCCCCGTGGTAGTCGCTAAAGTAACCCGTGGGGTATCGGTGGTCGTGTAGTTTGGGTCGAGACCCTTCTCTAAAATGCGTTTCTTGTAAATAAACTATGGACGCACTGGCGGAGTGAAAGTCTCTTAGGGCAGTTGCCCTCTTTTCTGGTTTGTTGAGGCCCCTTGCATTCAGGGAGAGGATCGTGAGGTTAGCCGGTGTGAGCGTCATTCTCAGTTGTCGTCAGTCGTATGTGGTGGTATCTGTCGTTGGTCTGGATGGGGACGGGGGGGTAGGATCCGGGGTAAGTCAGGGGTGGGGGAGGTGTGGGGAGTCCGCCACTGTGGCGGCGTTAGGGTATTGGCGTCTGGGTGGTCCCTAAGACCCGTGCCTGTACTTAGGCCTAGCGTCTAGTCCACCTATACTTAGCGCCTGTCCCTTAGGGGGTAGAAGGAAGGCCAAAGCCTCCAGGCGGATGCTGATACGCTGTCGTAATATGCCGTGAGCAATTCGCTCTACAAATTCTCTGCGGTCTGAACTATGTGCGCAGTCGTTCTCCCGTGTGTTCCCTTTACGGCTCTGTTAGTCGCTGTGTCACAAGTTTGGGTCCTCGCCTAGTGTGTGTTAGGCATCTGCATTTCAACGTTAACATTCAACATTTCAAAAACATTTTTAAAAGAGAAAGAAGGAAAAACTTAAAACATAGGATGTACATTTGTGCATAGTCACTGCGATGGCACCTGTCCCTTGTTGTGTAAACCTGTCTCCGTGTGAACCTGGATTGCGCTCTCCAAACCATGGTAGTCGGGACCCCCACCCTCGCCACCCCCTATTCCCATATTCAGCGCATGAGGAAGGTAACCGGGCTCCCGACCCTCCCCCCTTTTCCTCCAGTGGTTTTTGCTGTTGTACGGCCCTAATCGGAAATCTGGGTGGTCTCCCTGCGTAAGTGAGCGGACTGTCGTTACTTTCTAAGCCTCTCCTGACATGAGGGCCTATCCCCGGTCCTGTCAGGCCTCTTACTGTGTGTGTCCAAGGGCTCGGTCGGATGCCCGAGCGAGCCGGGACTCCGCCCCCCGCCTGCTCCTGGTGGGTCATCACAGGCATGCCAGGGGGGTGCGGTTGCCTGGCCCGGTCCGGGATCCCTCCCCCCCTAGGTCTGTGCATGTCCGTGTGGGCAGTGTTACTCCTGTTGTCTCCCCCACCCTTGTCTCTATCCCCCTCCTACGCCCCCCATAGCATTCCCGTACTCCCCGGCCCCATGGCACCCCTCTGGTATGCGCTTGTCGTGGGCTAGCACCCCGGCCACCTGACCACCAACACTTGGCACTTGCGTTAACATTTGGTACTTGCGTGCGTAATATTAGAGTCTAGGTAAGCTCGAGTGTCCTCTGATCCGACCCAGCCCGTCTCAGCTCGGTGGAGTGTCCCGTCATAAGTCCATGGCGTGCCCGTGGATCCAATGCCGGGGGTTCAGCGCAGGCAGGGGGACTCTGTGTCCATTGTTGTAGTGCTCTCCGCTGGGTACTGCCCTATGTATCTCAGTCTAGTATTGTGCGTGTTGGCCGGAGTCGGAGGCTCGTTGGCGGTGGCCTCCGATCGGTGTGGGGAGGGTGGAGTTCGTGTTGTCGTATCCGATCTGGGCTGGAGTCCTCACCTGTGGGCCAGGTGGGGGGTTCCCATGGGTGATCGTCTCGATGTCAGCTCTAGTGGTCGTGGGACAGGTGCCGCAAAGAGGTCCCGTTGGTCTAATGGCCTCGGGGGCCTGTTGCCTGCTGGCGTGTGGTCCTCGGAATCTGGGATCCCGCGGCCTGTCTCCCCAGTCTCAGGGTTGGTGTATATAGAGTCAGGGGGTCAGGCCACAGTATTGGCGCTGGTGTGATTTGTAGTTCTCTTGCGAGGGCGTCCATGTCGGCCTTCTCCTTTATCACGTAGGGGCCCTTTGGTGTCTGGACCTGGAGTCCATTCGGAAAACACCAGCGGTATCTGATTTTGTTCGACTGCAGTTGCTTGGTGAAGGGGAGCAGGGCCCTGCGGTATGCCAGTGTAGTAGGTGATAGATCTGGGTACAGTTGTATCTCTGTGCCTTCCAGGGTCACTTTTCCCAGGTCTCTCGCCTTTCTTAGGATCTCTTCCTTTTGTTGGAAGCTGGCTATGCAGCACATGATGTCCCGGGGTGGGCTCCCAGGGGGCCCTCTCGGCCGGAGTGCACGGTGAGCCCTCACCATGTTGATCTGGGCTTGTGGTGGACAGCCTAGGAGGTTGTTAAATATCCCCGTTAGGGTTTGTTGTACAGGGGTTGCATCATCAGCCTCCTCTGGTACCCCGCGAACCCTGATGTTCTGCCGTCTGCCCCGGTTATCGAGGTCCTCCAGGTGGTACGCCATTTGCCGGAGTTGTTGCGTGGTATGTTGCAGGGTTTCAGTGGTCGCCGACTGCGCCGACGCACGTGGTCGCAGTCCGCCTCGAGTTGGGATACCCTCTGGCGTAGGCCGCAGAATTCTTGCCTCATGGCCTGGAGCTCCGTTGTGATGGAGGCTCGCAGTTCGTTGTTTGCCCTCTGCAGGTCGGTTTTAGTGGGCAGGTTGCATGGCATGTCCAACCATTCAGGTTGTGTAGCTGGGGTGTCCGCAGCCGGTATCTCCGCAGGGCTCTCTCCGCCGAGTGGGGAGGGTGAGAACAACCCCTCTGAGGCCGCCGAATCATTGGAAGCCTGCGTGTCCGGGTCCGCCGTAGTAATCAGATATTGCCGCAGGGTGGGGTGACTATTTCCCCTGGGGGTGTCAGCGGGTTTAGAGGCTTGCGACGCTCTATGTGATTTGCCCATGATCAGGGCAATATGATGCTTTCGGCGAGGTTAGTGCAGGGCCTGTTAGGGAGCTTAGGAATCACGCCGCCATCTTCCTCGGCTTCCAAGCCACTCCCCCTATTAATGTCTTTAATAAAGGATTCTCCGAATAGGAGACCTTACGCAGCTGGACCAGGTTCGGAAGTAGCTATTTTTGACAGTTAGGGGTCAATTTTCATTAAAATAGACCTGCGGCGTTCGCTGGTCAGCGCTGCATTAGCACTCCCCAAAAGACATATAATGCGTTGGGTCCAGCCTCTCAAAGTATCAATGCTGGGAGGATTCCCAGAAGCTGCCGCATATTCCAAAGTTTCAAACATTTTAGTCACAGGACCAGAAATGTCCATTAATTTATCTTGACAAGATTTCAGTGACCTGTCAAGGCCTTTATTAGGGTTCTTCCCTGATTTTGATAAAAATTGTACAATAGTAGGATCTAGATCAGGGGTCTGTGCGACTTTCTTTGATAAGGTCGGTCTAGGGCATTCAGCCCTTAGTTTATTTCTAGTCGCTTTGTCAAGGGGTTTCCTTAACCAGTATTCAAGATATTTGGCTACATGAGCCATAGGGACCCATTCGGCTGACCTGGGGTGTTTAATATGGTCTGGGTCAAATAATGGTTTACCATTAAAATCCAAAATAATGTTTTCATTGTCAGATTTAGAAATAAGCTCAGGTGTCTCTGAGATATATGAACAAATTGAGGCAGAATCAGAGTCAGATTTTTCATCCTCTGAGATTGAAGATGATTCACTATCTGAGGAGGTTTTATAGGAATCAGGTTTGTTCCTGTGAATGACCTTCCAAGCCCGTTTAACTTCCTCACGAGCAGAGGGTCTTTTGAGGGATTGATTACACTCTTCAGTTTTGCGTGAAGCACGCATTGTATTCTTGTATTGGTCCTTCCCTCTCTTAACTTGCTTAGAGCCATTAGGGGATTCTGCAGGACCGTCAAAGCAATGTTTGCGTTTCTGGGTGGCCTTCCCAGACCTCCTGAAACCTTGAGCTAGGTTTCGTTCAGACTCCACAGATGACCAGAATTGGTCTGAAGGAGTACTAATTAAATGAGTCTTCTCACTGGGTTTTGAGTTATTTATGGCTTGAGCCCCAGACTTTGCAATTGCCTCTTGCATAGAGGACATTGCAGTATAAATAGCAGAGGAAACTGACTTTTGAACGGATAAATCCACAATATTATGTGGATTTTCTTATTCACAGTCATGAGAAACATCAGGTTTTGGTGATTCAATCTGTCTGATCTCCTTAGAGTTCATAATTTCAAAATTGCAACAAATAGTAATTGTATCTACTATTCGTAGAATAGTTAAATAGTAAGTAAATGTTGCCAGTTATGAGGGGAAATACTGACAGGAATTCAAATAGTTCAAATTATAATAATTACCATTAGAGAGTAACAAGTTGTGAGGAAAGCGCTGTCCTGAGGTAAAGTGGGCAGGAAAGTTAGCTCAGGACCAACTAACTGGTATTCCCGCCCATAAACATCATCAATGTATAAGTGCAACGGTTCGTGTAGAAATTGCCGAAATGACTGAACAGTTTAAAGACAAAAAAACTATAAGAAACATAGAATTACTTCAGAAAAGCATATATTCCATTGAATAAATACATGTCAAACATATAATCAAACTAGAAGGTATGTTTAGAAAACAGTAGCGTAAGTGAATATATATGATACTTATCTCTACTGGAGCAGCAAAGAAAGAGGGAGAATATTGGGGATCATTCACTATATGGACTATACTGGATGCTGATTGGCTACCAACGTTCCATTTCAGTTACTCTGTTGTTTTACCTTTTTTTATTCACTAAATTTTATTGAAAAAATGTCTTTGCTGCTGGAGTTAAGTAAAGAAAGTTAATGCATAATACGAGTCTCCTGTCTTGTTATAAAATCAAGGTTATTGCCAGCTACAACATTCACCACTGACTATACAATATAAAAAAGCAGTGAGATACCCTTGGGTTCTGTGGAACTCATTGCTTTCATCACAAGCTTGCTAAACATATAAAGTAATAAAAGAGTTGGTGGTCACAGACCTTTGTACGCAATCTTTGCATCAGGTAGACTAACCAGTTGATTTTATCATTTGCCAGTTCTCTTTCAATAGGGATATTGACAAATCCTGGTGTGGCTTAAGGAATGGGAATTTCAGTAAAGAATACTGAATATAAAATAGGTCTCTTTGCGGATGATATTATCCTATCTTTGGCAGAACCCAAAACTTCAGTTGACTCCCTAAATTCTATACTACAGGAGTTTAGAAAAGTCTCATTTTACAGGCTCAATACTGGAAAACACAGGCTCTACCTATACACATTCCTTGGTGTGATCTGGATGATTTGAAAATTAAATCCAACTTTAACTGGAGAGATTCATTCATTGACTACCTTGGAATAAAACTATGCAAAAATTTAAACATTATGCACACATTTAAGCCTGGCCAATATTACAAAGGGAAATTGAAAACTGAAATAAGTTGTGAGAACTATTCCCTTGTCAATTCCAAAGACATTCTTTAAAACAGTTCAATCTGCTGTAATTGAATTTAAATGGGGAAATAAGATGAGCAGAATTAAATTTTCAGTATTGCAAAATCTCAAGTCTCGTGGAGGACTACAGGACTTTAATTTGGCCTACGAGGTTAGATTCCACGCGGGCTTGAGATTGAAAATGATAGGATATTACCATATTCTATTAAAGAAGTATTGTGGCTTCCGGTGTCTGGGTGACCCAAGATAGCTGAGATGTTTCCCACTACTAAGATTACCATCAAAGCATGGGATACTGTGTTTAAGGTAGTTGGCCATTCCTCTGGGTGGTCATGAGTAATGCCGCTGCCTATATTAAAACTATATTTTCCTGATTTAAATTTAGATAATTGGCACATTAAATCAATTCAAAATTTAAATGACCTTTTCTTAGGTAATTCTTTAATGTATTTTATGAAACTTCAAGATAAATTCGACCTAGAAGATAACATACAATTAGAACACAAATTAATTATTAATAAAAATGAAAGATACATTTTCCATTCAAAATTTAGATAAAAATTATACAGAAAATGCATTATCAGATCTGGAAAAAACATACTTACATAACCCTTATAAACTCGGTACTATATCTCAATGTTACTCTTATCTAATACCCACACTTAAATTAAAAGATGACTACATGCTTGCATGGGAAACAGATATAGGTGCTTGTTGCGACCTGGAGAAATGGCTTAAATTTGTACCAGCTCCTAAAGGAGTTACACAGTGCTCCAATCATTGGGAAACCCATTTCAAAATAAATTATATATGGTATTTCTCCCTCTGTAGGTTGAAAAAAATGAACTCCAGATATTCAGATAAATGTTGGAGAAACTGTTGAATGATTGGCTCGCTTTCACATGTTATTCTGGTATTGTCCTAAACTCATGTAATTTTGGCATGAAATACATAAATTAATCCAAAAAGTAAATTCTAATATTTCTGTACTCACTTCAGAATTAGCTCTATTCAAATTGTTCCTTGATACTATTGAAAAAATTGATAAAATTATAATCGGACATATCCTTTTAGCTGCAACTACGGTCATCACCAGATACTGGAAGTCACCAACAATTCCTACTATTAACCCCTTCCCGACCAAGGACGTATCAGTTACGTACGACAAAAAACAGTCCTTAGGGACTGCGAAGGGTCGATGCACTCAGTTAAAGTTAAAAATCACTCCTAATCTCTCAATTTCTCAGAGTTCTCAGAGTTAAAAAAATTAACAAAAAAAATTTAAATAAATTAAATAAATCTAACCTCTCTCCTCCCTCCCTCGCCGCCGGCGATCGGTCTTTTTCTTCCTCTCCAATTTAAAATTTAAAAGAGCTCTAAAATAGCGGTCAAATGGCTGCAATAGGTGTCCACAGAGCGGTCACATGGCCGCAATAGGTGTCCACAGAGCTGCCAGCAGGCAGTCCCCCTGCTGGTGAAAAAAATTAAAATAAATAAATAACATTAATACATAAAAAAAAAAAAATATATATGATAAATATATATATATATATACATACATATATTATATCTATATATAAAATGTATATATATATATATCTATCTATCTTATATACAACATCATACTAAGTGTATTTTTTATTAATATATACATATATTAATATAAAAATACACTTAGAATAAAATTACACACATAAATATATAATATATATAACTATATATATTGTGTGTATATATATATATATATATATATGTATATTATAAAAAAATTATGATTAAAAATAAATAAAAAAACTGTAAAAATAATTTAAAAAAATTACATATATATATGTAATTTTATTCTAACTGTATTTTGATATTAATATATATATATATATATATATATATATATATATCAAAATACACTTAGAATGAAATTAAATATATATCTATGTATATCCCCTTAACGACCGTGGACATACTATGTATGTCCGACAAAAAAAAATGGTTGTTAAGGGCCGCGGATGTACCTGGCAGCCCTGGACTTACCTGGACTGGAGATCCGCAGAGATCACGTCGAGGACTGCCGGAAACCCCAGAAGTCCCTCTGCAGCAGCTCCGGCCACCCTGGCACTCCAGGGCCATGTAATCACCATGATCACATCGCCGCAATAGGAGTCTACAAGCTGCCAGCAGGGGGACTGTCTGAGCTGTTAGTAAAAATAAATAAATAAAATAAATTTATTATACATATATATGTATAATATATTATAAAATAATTAAATCATTTTTAATATATTATACATATATAATGCATATATATGATTTCACTATAAGTGTACTTTGAGATATATACATATATATCTCAAAATACTCTTATAATGAAATCATATATATGTATTATATATGTATAATCTATTATAAAATGCTTTAATTATTATAAAAATATACATATATAGGAAAGTGTGTGTGTGTATATATATACTATATATATATATATATATATATATATATATATATATATATACACATGTATTATATGTATATGTGTATGTGTATAATACACACGTATTATGTGTGTGTGCATATATAAGTATGTGTATATATATATATATATATATATATATATATATATATTAACACTGCTCAAAAAAATAAAGGGAACACTTAAACTACACAATGTAACTCCAAGTCAATCACACTTCTGTGAAATCCAACTGTCCACTTAGGAAGCAAAACTGAGTGACAATCAATTTCACATGCTGTTGTGCAAATGGGATAGACAACAGGTGGAAATTATAGGCAATTAGCAAGACACCCCCAATAAAGGAGTGGTTCTGCAGGTTGTGACCACAGGCCACTTCTCAGTTCCTATGCTTCCTGGCTGATATTTTTGTCACTTTTGAATGCTGGTGGTATTTTCACTCTATTGGTAGCATGAGACGGGGGCTACAACCCACACAAGTGGCTCAGGTAGTGCAGCTCATCCAGGATGGCACATCAATGTGAGCTGTGGCAAGAAGGTTTGCTGTGTCTGTCAGCGTAGTGTCCAGAGCATGGAGGCACTACCAGGAGACAGGCCAGTACATGAGGTGACGTGGAGGAGGCCGTAGGAGGGCAAAACCCAGCAGCAGGACCGCTCCCTCCGCCTTTGTGCAATGAGGAACAGGAGGAGCACTGCCAGAGCCCTGCAAAATTACCTCCAGCAGGCCACAAATGTGCATGTGTCTGCTCAATCGGTCAGAAACAGACTCCATGAGGGTGGTATGATGGCCCGACGTCCACAGGTGGGG